TCAGTATTTCTCATTTAATTAATTCAGTTCTCACTTCGCGAGAAGGCAAAAATACATAAAACTCAAAATATCTATATTAAAAATTACGAAGTAAATCTCAAACGCTTATTTCCTCGAAAAAATTCCAGAAAGAATTAAGCATGATTTAATTGGCAATAATAAATGAATGCGTTGTCTTTGTTGTTGCGAAGCTAAGTTTCTCTAGAATGGCAATTAGAAATCACTAGTCTCCTGTTTCAAATGTAAACATCAATGACCGCCATTAAAAACAGGCTTAGCGGCAATTAAACAACTTTAAAATTGCTGATAATTCTAAAAATATTGCACACAGATTTACTAAAGGCATAAAATCCTTAACCGGAAGATAAAAACAACATAATTCAAGCATTTTTAAAGCACAAAATGTACAATTTACAAACATATAAGAGTAAAGAAACTAAGATCACTGAGCCGGGTAATAGAGTGGATATATATATATATAAATATATTTATATACGTTTGGTGCGGCCGATTGCAACCAAAATACGAGGTGCGCATCTACATGTTATAGCAGTCCTATATACAAAATTTCAACGTTCTGAGGCTACTCGTTTTTGAGTTATGCGAGATACGTACGTACGCACGCACGTACGTACATACGTTCGTACAGACGCCACGAAAAATTCTCTTCAGAATTCATTTTAAAGCAGTTTTATAATTTTTTTGAAGGAAAAGAGTATTATATTTCTGTCCTTACGTACAGATGTCACGGCAAAAATATCGTTAAATTTCATTCGATAGCGGTCAAAATGGATGTTTTTCGTTTGAAATATGCTGCCTGAAACTTTTCGCGATTACAATACTTCCTTTTTACTTCGTACAAGGAAGTTAAAAATTTAGCACTAAAATGTTTTTAAAATGTACGATTACAAAATTTAAAATTATACAAATATATTGGTTTTCGTAACTAAATATATAATATCTGTTGTTACCGAACTGTATCACTATATTCTTGCTGTTAAAATGAATTAAAAACCAATAAGAAATCCTTTTTTTTTGTAGCTGCGGGGCTTATTTCTACATTTAGAGTTTGAGCATGAAATAATATAAACAAAGAATACCAAAACGTTAAAATAATTGCACTGCCATTCGAAAACAGTTAAAAGAGAGTATTGTGATTAGTACTCTAATATAAAATTTCTTTTATTTGGAATTTTGTATTAGCACGCACAATAGTGTACAGAAGTAAATCTAGAAACTTTGTAATCGGCTCATCGAAGATAGTAGAAACTTATTTTAGATCTTACAGCTAAGGCATAAAATAACACTTTTTGAGAATTTGCTTGTATCTTCGACATGAAGGAACTCAGATAAAATAGCTTTTTAAATAAGTGATTTGATTTTTGTGACGAACAACAGGTGTTTACGTTATTAATGCTGCATAAAAGGTGTTAGGTATTATTGACTGGTAAGAGCATATGTTTACAATAGAAATGATTTTATAGTTAACTTGAAATAGTTACTATATTTCAGGGTTTATATTAAAAAAAAGAACAAATCTGTAGATGCAAGACCGATGTCTATGAAGAAAATCCGAAAGAGTTTGGTTTAACTTGCAAATTTTGCACAACTGCCTCGCTAAAATCGATGTCTGGTAAAATACAGTTTACGACATAGTTCAGAGGAAAATCAAAACATGTTATATTTATGTGGCTAGATTAATTCATTCATATCTGGCCTTCTTGAATGTCACATCGTGCAGACTTCAAAAAGACAAATAAAATGCATTCACAGCCAACTAGGAGTAATTTCTTTCTTTCTATTGGCTATTATTTAAAACTTCTAAACTGAATAAAACACATGAGTTAATTTCTTTCGGGAAACTGGATTAAAGTAAACTAAAAACAGTTCCTTAAAATTAGAGTCTTAATTTTTGAAGTAGAACCTTCCTCCATAATCAAGGAATATCTAGAAGAGTCATCCTTTATCGTTCTTCTGCTAATTATAAACTTTATGTATTTTTATACTCGGCCCAGATGATTCCGTGGTTAGAACAGCCTACTGCGATACCGAAGGGCCAGGGTTCGAATACCGGAGAAGGCATACCTGTATTTGTCCGTCCCTTCATAGAAGGTAATGGTAGCCCACGTAATATGTGCTTCCACGATAAAACGGCTGCAACTTTCGGCCTTAGTAGTGGCCAAATCTAAGTAGGTTAAGTACCCGCCAGTGGGAATAAAAAGAATATCTATGATGTTTAATACCCAAAAGCTTTCCACTAGGAACTGAAATAAAAATCTGTAACGCTTTTTATCTGATACGGGATATAATAAATAGATTTTATAAACCATTGTTGGATTATATTAGCTGATGCATTTCTAACATATTAAAGCATGCAAAATTGCAAATTATGGTTTCAAATTATGGATAATGTAACTTAAATACAGAATCGTAACATTATATATTATTTCTGTAGCACTTCAGTTTTCTCTTTATCGCAGAAACGAGACTTTATAAAAGTGTTTCCTTCGCAATGAAGTTTTTGCTGCTTTCTGACGGAAAATACTTAAGCAGCAGTAAAAATCTTATTGCTGAATAATAAAGAATTGAAATATTAATGTAAGAACTGTACAAACCTTATTTTATTCTAACCAAGTATTTTTAGTTCTACTTTCCTTTTCCTTCTGAGTTCAGTTTCCTGCCGGAATGTGAATTTTAAATGACGTAGTATGCAAAATCTAAGCTTGGTTTTGGAAGCAGTATTTAAGCTGCGTTTCAAGAGTTCGCGAGGAGAGTAGCGGAGTTAGTTCCAAATTTATTCTGCGTGTTTGAATTTAGCTGTCTAGTGTTGTTAGGCACCTCTCAGTTTATACTGATAGTTCTAGGCTCGGCTTTGCTGTGTGCAGCCGATTTAGCGTTTAAATTACTAATTAGTCAGTCGTTAGCCATTCAGATTTATTAGTGATCTGATATATTTTTATTTTCTGTTAAATTTAGTTAGCTACAAGTGGTGGTGATTTGTGAGCACCAAATGCGTGCATTTATTTATTTTAGACCTTCTTTTGCAGTAATTATTATTCAAATACACAGCAAGTATTCGCTACTTCGTCTTCTAAGTAGGGTTTACATATTATGCTTCCAAAAAGAGTGAGACTCGATAGAACATATAGAAAGTATTAGTTGCATTTATTTGACATCAAAAAAGATTTATCTAAAGAGCTCATGCAATGTTTCATGTTACGTAGTGTACAAATAAACATTGTTACAATTATGCACTTTTTCCTTTGACAATTTGTGCCTTGAGTATAATACCACGAGATATTGAGATATTGAAATGACAGAGTTTAAGAAAAAGATCAATTATAAATTAATTTTAAGAGAAGTTTCTGTTGTGTAAATTCTCAGTGAGTGCAAAACTATATTTTCACGATAAATGTATGAGGGTATACAGATTTCATGGCGACATTATTCGACGACCAAAACGCACAACACTTTGCATCAGAGTAGAGACAGAAAATGGTTTAGGTACACCTTTGAATGTACCCTCGCCGTCGAGATCTTCCTAGAGGTAATTAATTGTAAGTAGTGTGATATATTTGGATCAGTTCTGATTTCGACGTGCAACATGCGGTCTTGCATTATCTTGTTAGAACACAACTACTGGACGTAACATGCCAGAAATGCACCTATTTACGTTCAAATTACCGTCAATCCTAACTTGAGATGTGCGTGTCGTGTACCCACTGGCTGCCATGCCATCACACCAGGTGCACGGTCCCCATGCCGATATCGAATGCAAATAGGCGACGTGAGGTCTCCTCGGACACTCCAGACAATAATGGTCACCCTGCTGATAGTCCACGCTGCTACAAACGTTGAAGCAGCTTACGAGCTAATACTGGGCATGCTGCAAACATGTCCATTTCCTGACTAATAGTCCGTGATATGATCGTACTGTTTTGCAAGTCTGACCTCACAATATGTCTGTCCTCTCTGGTCATGGGAGGGCGTTAAGATACTGCCTGGGGTTCAGCAGGACGGTTAACAGGTCATTGATTCCATATTCGCTTGACAGTGATTGGATGTCGACCAGTGCGACAAGCGATATCACGGGACGATAATCTAAACTTTCGATAGGCAAGGATCATGCCTTTATCAAATTTCGAAACTTGCTGGTAAGAATTTCTTCTTATTATGCGAGGCATAACACAATATCCTGAGCAAATTCCAACCTTACAAAGCACTTTCTGAATGTGAAATCCACAACACAACGTTTCTTTAATGCAGTGCTTCGGATGTCGTTTCTCCCTCCTGTGTCGCCTAAATGCGCTGAAATACTAATCCATTTGCATATTCCAACTTCTTCTTCCCTTCATGGAATTTTGACTTTTGTCAGATCATTCCATCATGGTGTTGAAATTTTAATGTCCAGAAAAAGTATGTAGGTCATATTTTTTACATAAATTATTTTTTAGATGCTTACAGCTATTTTGGTAAAACTATTTATTGTATAGGCTTCTAATTATTTCAAGAGTTTTTAAGTGAAGAAAAATTGTTACTTTAAAACGTATATGTCGAATTACTACGATGTGAATTTATAAGAACGGAATCATTCTCTCGTTAAAGATTTAATGACTTCTCAAAGTATGTTTGAGAATTCAGATTTTTATTATAATTTTAATAATTGTAGGCAAGCATTATGAAATTAGTTTATTGCTAAATGATAACTGATTGTTTTAGATTACTTTGAATACAAATTAATACGAAATCAGTAGCATACTTGAAGACATTTAGCACAGTATTGACAACTTTTCGACGTATTTTTATGAAACTACTTGAAAAATGAAAACTTATACATATATATTTATATTATGTATTTATAAAGGCAGATATTTGTCATTCAAATTAAACAAAAAGTTCTCAGCTAGGTGATAAGTATATAAATAATTTTGTAATATAAGAATATTACCCAAAATATTACCCCAAAAGGGGTAAAATATCATTAATTTAAAATAAATTACCTTCTGTTTTGAATGAATTTGGTGCGAAATATCTTCTGTTCCGTTTTAAATTTAGGTAAGCTTATTCTGATTACCACGAGAATATATTAGCGAAAATGCTGCCATACAATTTTACTTTATAAGATTTTACTAACTTTTTTTTGTGGCTAATTCTTTCAGTTTTAGATAATTTAAAATAATAACAGCGTTTGGTTCAAAAATATTCTCTCTGATTTTGATGCTAATTGACTGAAATATTGTATGTACATTACGTTTTAATTTATTGGAAGCTTCATTGATCTAATTATATAAGCAGTCCCTTCAGATGCTGTGAAAACTGCGCTGATTTTAAATTAAATAAAATTTACTTAAGTCTCTGTTCAACAAATCACTCAGCGTATATTGAAGCATCAATCACAACACAATTTTTCCATGGCATTTGGGGAGGGGGCGAGAAATTTCTTTTCAAAAACACTGAACATTTTCAAACTTATCTTCTTAGGAATTCAAATTAAAAATTATAATACCTAATTTCAAAGTCTAATATTAATATTATTCATTAATTAATAACCTCTTCAGCTGCGAAATTGAAAGACATATTGCATTGTTTTAAGTTTAATTTTTTTATTTTAAATTCTGCCGTAAATTGTTTACAAGATTAGATAACCGTTAAAGATCTATCAGTTTTCCTTTTCAAATTACTTCATTTAGTTTCAGAAATTATCTAATATATAAAAAATAAATGGATCAAACATATGGGTTGTATAGATTATTAATTTATTCAATATGGTTTAAGACCCAGAAACTGTTCAATCAACTTATTTATGACTTAGTAAACTTAAATAAACGTAAACGTATAAAAGCACGATTTGAAAAACTTCGAATGCAGTCTAATTCCCGAGAATGAATTTATCATTAATAATTTTAAAAAGAATAAAAAATTATGTTCAAAAATAGAAAAATTATGTTCAAAAATAGAAAAAATATGTTCTAAAATAGAAACATTGTATAAAAATGGAACTCTATTTGCATCTATTCTTTAATCTAAAGTAAGGAAAATAATAAAAAAGCACAGGCAGTAAGCACAATAAAGAAACATCAACTTAATTAATGCTAAACCAATTCTTTACAGTAAAATTAAATTTTCTTCCCGTAAAGTACGCACCTATTTCAGATACTAAAACGAGTTCAAAAATTTACTGACTCCTGATTTTTGTAAAAGAATTTAAAGTAAGATAAAAAATTACTGAAACAAATTGTATGATGACACTAAAATTATTTTATAAATTTTATACTGGACAGAAATTCCTTTGGTACCTCTGTACGTAAAGCTCAGTTTAGAAAGAACACTTCAAGTAGTATATCTGGTTATAACGAAAGTTTTCTGCTAAAGAACGTTCTTAATAAAATTATAAAAAATTGAAAGTAGTGTCTTTAGTGTGGGTATTTATTCTCATCCAAATCTATGATTTTCAGCCAACGTTTCGTTAGTTTTTCAGCCTTCAGTCTAGGAAGCTTGGGGACCGCGAGTCCAAAAACAGATCAACCTTATTTCGGACGTCCTGTGCAGAATGGAAGAGAGCACTAGCAAGTGTACATGCAAGTGTGGAAAAAGACAGGAGTCCGAAGGAACGATATCGCGGCTGTATGGCGGTTGTGGCAAAAGATTCCATTTGAGTACGTACAGCGTCCAGCTGGTGAAGGCAGACACATGTCGTCTTGCATTATATTGTGATAAGGTCGCATAAATCTACGACGAATGATTTCAAATTGCAAATTCAGAGTGCAATATACGTGATGAAATCACGGGACTAAATATAATTATTTAATTGTTATTAAAATAATATTAAGTTGTAAAAAAATAGTTGTTATTAAAATAATATTAAATTGCTGGCAATGTTAAAAACGCAGGCTCGAGAGCCACGTATGGCTCTCGCACGATTGATGTATAGAATTTGATTTCTGAAAAAGATTTTTTTTTTTTTTGTCTTCAGAATTGTATGTAGCCATTTTTAGCATTCAATAAATTTTTTATGCTGTGTTTTGTTTTCAACCTGATGTCACAACCCAGGGTTTGCATAGCGGTTTCGGCCACTACACCACAGCAGTAAAAATTAAAAGTTGGTGGCAGCGGTGGGATTGTTCCTGAGAGTAAATTTAGGAACGGACTTTTTTCGCCTGTGAACTTGAGTTTTATGTGAACAGTCAAGACTTTCTTCTCTTCAAGAACGATCTAATTTTGCGTGCAAGGACAGTTCGCGAGGTGAAGCCTCTTCAGTGACACGTGACAGCGTGTCAGAAGGGAACGCCGGAAGAAGCGTGATCTAGTGCCGCAAAATAGTGAAATTTCCCGGAAGAATATCCAAGTAGTGCCAGGAGAGTCAATCGAAGGCGTCTTCAAAATTGGTGAGTACCATTTTTGTGATTTTGAAGAAGTTATGCCAGTTATTCGAGACTAGGCTTATTTTGGATATAGAGCAGGAAACGGTTGCCTCTTAATTAGCATTTTTATATACGCTTTGTTTGTAGGCATAGGTATTATCATTAAGTGTTGTAAGGCAATTTGTTTGTTCAGAATTGTTAGGGAATTATTCAGTTTTGGAGAGAAATAGACCTGTTGTTTTTGTGTTATTGTTTTATTGTCGGTGGTTTGTAGGTTAGATTTTTCTTTAATTTTCCATAATGGGTGAGTTTATGAGGAAATTTACTAAAGCTCTGATATTGGAGTTAGCGGAGGAGTTTGAAACAAATGTGTCTCAGGCAAATAGAGTAAGAGAAATTAGGCAGGCTATTCTAAATGCCGAGGACTATGAAGAAGAAGCTACGAAAGAATACGCGGCAACAATTTGGGCTGCGGCTGAGCAGAGAAAAGCAAAAGAAATAGCCGAACAAGAGAGAGCAGAACGGGAACGTGAACAAGAGAGAGCACAGCGGGAACTGGAACGGGAGCGAGTTTTTGAATTGGAAAGGTTAAAACTGATGAATGTGGTTCAGACTAATAGCCTAGCTTCCACGGTTTCGAAAGTTGAACAATCTAGAGAAAAAAAAAGGTTAATTTGAAAGATCTAGTACCGCGTTTTGAACCGAGTAATATAGATATTTCATTTTTCTTTATGCTATTTGAGAAACAAGCTCAAAAAGAGAACGCTAATGAGATAGATTGGGTCTCGCAATTAATTCCTTTATTACCTTACGATGTAGCCAGTGAATAGTGAAAGAAGCAGCGGATAAAGGGGATGATTATCAGCATGTTAAGAAATTACTCATGCAGAGATTCAAGCTTAGTTCTTGGGCACTAAAAACAAAATTTGAAGAACATTCTAGAAAAAACGGAATTTTATGGGTGGATTTATTATATGAATTGAGAGTGTATTTAGAGAATTGGTTGGATTCCGTAGAAGTTCAAGATTTTGAAAGTCTTAAGGAACTTATGCTCACTGAGCAAATTAGGCGGCGAGAACCTCTAGAAATAAGAGAGCAATACTTAGACAATTGGGAAGAATTTTAAAACAGCTTCCATTTTAGCAGAGAAATGCGACAAGTATGAGACTTTGCGAAGAGAAATGAGGAAGTTAGAACAGAAAGCGGGGTTAAAGAAATCATTTGAGAAACATAGAGAGCGGTATATAAATTCTAACTGTAGTTATAATCAGAAAAGTAGTGGTCATCAAAGAATTAAATCAGAAGAGCATAGAAAAGTGGAGTCTCCTAAAAAAAAAGCTAGTTTTCAATGAAGCAGGTTTCGAGAAACAGCGGAAAATAAGGTGTTACCAACGTGGAAAGGACGGATATATCCAATTTAACTGTCCATCGCTGGAAATGAATAAGGCTAATCTGGTGAATAATCTAGGAACGGAGAGTTTAGGAAAATGTTTTGAGCCGTATTTCAAGAAAGCAGTAATTAATGGGATAGAGAGAGAACATCTGAAAGATACTGGAGCTGGTGTAGATCTGTGTAATAGTACTTGGATTAATACTAGTGACTTGTTACTCCGGTAAAGTTAGCTAAGAGTAAGTGAGCGAGTGTCTCGCAGTCTAGTGCCGAGTTGGTCGTCGAGTGCATCGAGAGAGTCTCTTACTATATAGCGAGTTAGTGCATCGTCAAGATTTATCTTAGAGCGCGTTGAGCTCCGAGAACGACCGAACCGAGTACTCTAGTGTATCGTTGAGCGCATCGCGAGCTTGAATAACCTCGAGAGTACGTAGAGTTTCTTTAACGACGGAGAGTCGGGAGCTATACTCTGGAGCAGAGTGGGGAGCTATACTCTGGTGATTTGCCGTGAAGCCCTCTTCCCTGTTATAGTCTGAAGGCTGTGTCACTGATTGTTTCAGCTTGTTTATAGTAGTTTTATGACGACTGCAAACGTGTTTTTGATGCTGTCTTGAATAGTACTGGTTAATAAATTGTGTTTTGATACTTCATCAAGTGTCATCGTTATTCATTCTAAATTCACGAATCCCTAACGTGAAGAAAAATACATAACAATATGTTTTCAGGGTTTAAAAGTTGTATGAATATTCGCATAATAATCTGTAAGCGCAAAAAGAAATAAGGAATATTTTTACTTTTATGTTTTTGAACTAACTAATAAATTTTTGCTGAAGAATTCAAAAGGAAACGTTATAAGGATTTCTCTCACTTCCCTAGCGTGCCTTCGTGGTGTAACGGTAGCACGCTGGGTCGGTATTCCAGAGGTCCGTGGTTCGATTCCCGGCGAAGGCGGTTGCATATTTTTCATCTTTTCTGCTTCCAAATTAACCTAATGACACTACAACATAAGCGTTCAAAAACTGAAATTGAGTAGAAAAACTAATGCTACTTATAGCAGTTAATATAAATTTATAATATAATAATCAATTAAACAATTTTAATAGAGGTAACCACATGCAATTACTCGTGTTCCTTTTCCTAATCTTCTTTAGAATGTGTTTTCATGAAAAGTCACCAATAAAACTTTTGTGAAAAAAAAATCATTAATTAATGCCTTTATTAGTTACATATAAAAGTTTAAAGTTCTATTAAGTGCTCTATTTAGAATCATTTTTCTACACAGTTTAAGTCTT